ACGTTTTTAAATTCGCAGTGTCGAGCGCATTAAAAACAGCAATTTAATGGCCTTTAATTAATGTATGCTACAAAATACATATAGCAAAAGTTAAAAACCTAAAATTGCCGTCGATCTGGACGTTGCCCACTGTTTGCTGACCTCTGGATCAATAGAACAGCCGCAGGGCCGTCGCTAAGTAGCTTAAGTAAGGGAGGGGAGTGTGAGTGTCGAATTTGCAAAAAAATGGGTGTGGTCAATGAGTGGGGTTTTTCTAAATTGACCACATTATTACACGTAATTAACATGAAAACGCCGGGATTCAAAAAGAAATGTTGGGTCTAAACTAGTATGCTCTGGATCAATAGAACAACCATTTCGCAACACCTTGATCAATAACCTTGGGTGTTTCAACGTTCCGCCAACTGACTGTGTTAAAATTTGTAAATAGGTCTCGTTTGGTTGAACTGCCTGATGAGACTTATTATATTTTTCAGTGACCCGAGAAAACATCCGGACCACGGGTACACGAAAATTTATATCAGGAATACGACAAACATTATCTTGAAAAATTTCCTGGTATGTTACACGTCAATTCGTCAACTATACAAATCGTAATTTTCGTATAAATGCGAAATATTTTTAAGTTCGTTGAAAGAACATGGTCTAAAAGTTGAGCAATATGTTTTCATATTTGGTGGATTGTAGAAATATGGTAGAATATTCAAAGTAGAATACCCAAGGTAGAATATTCATTAACCAAAACGTTTATAAACATCTGCTCTATCGATCTAGAGGTCGGCAAATAGGGCTCGAAGTCAGGCGGTTAGGTTTTCTAAATTTGGCAGACTGCAAAAATACCCAAGGTAAAAGATACGTTTAATGAAACAGCTGCTCTTTCCATTTAGAGGTCGGCAAACAGTGCTCGAAGTTTGTGGCTCTGACGATATTACGTATATTTTCACTTAATGTATTTTATAGTAAAACTCGAAGGCCATTATGTATGAATGAATGCAAATTAGCGCACGAGTGACACCCATTTTATCTCTGTTTTCTGGTAATGACAAAAAACCAACGTTTGAAACACACATAAGGCATACTTGTTGTGTTGTTTCGATATTTTCAGCACTTTAACCCACATCATGGATCAGAACTATCACTGCAACATGATCTTCAGTCAAACAACTCTAATCTACGCTAGCATAATGAACATCATAAACATACGCCTGGCATTGGTCACAGTTTTTTGGACTTGTTTCTTGCAGATGTATTCAAGATATCATCTTTGTTTTGTTTAACTGTAACCCCAGTTAGGGAGGCAAGGGAGTGCTATCACTTGCTCAAGGTGAACTCCCAGACAAACGGAGGGAAGGAGGTGTTTTACTTCTCCATTCTAGACCAGCTCCAAGCAAAGTCTACCCGCTGCCCAAAAACAATGTTCTTGATGATAGTTTTGCATATTATTGTTCAATTAAGTCCTGTTTATATGAGAGGCGAGACATGATGTTTACCGGGTCGGAATGTCTTTTCTTTCCGCATTTACATTCTTGTTTGATATACTGGATGTTTTCGCCCAGGAATACCCGTGATGTTTAAGATAAGTAGCGGAAATGTGATCATGATAAAATAATGACGCCTAATTTTTATGAAATAATACAATGCAGCATTTTGTAGATAGCGCTAAAAGCAACCCCAAGCTATTCTAACAATTCACGTCAAGCGAAAACCGAAGTCTGGCAACGTAGCTAATAGCTAATTCGTTGAAAAAATTCGCTTCGAAGAACTAAGGAATCTCTTCTTAATGTTTTCCTTCTTGCGTCCGCGTTCTGGAAGGCACGTGTCTTGTTGGAAAAGACAGTCGAAGAAAGACCATATCGCCTTTCTTGTCAGGAAAAGCTAGCATATCCTCTTTTGGAGAAAGTTTAATTGTTTCCTGTGCCTGTCGATAATCGAGATATCGTTGAAAAGAACGGTCGAGAACTACACCCGAGTCCATGTCAAAAAATTTAATTAAGGTATAGCATAAAGTGATTACAACTCTTTTCTTGGTAATGCAAAAGAGCTTGGAAAGAGACTGAAACCTGGAACCTACAGTTTGAGACTCACCAGTATCCAGATCAATTATGTAATGTTGCTCAGTGGCGCCGTCCGAGAGTACGACGACTTTAGAATCATTACTAAAGGAACATACGAGATCACGATTAAATTTACTCATAAGAGCGTCATTGTGATAAAAGACTTCATACAAGGCTCGTTCTTCGGCCTTTCTTCTCCAAATATAATAATCATTATCATTACAACCAAATATAAAGGTACCACCGGGTGAGATTTTCATTCTCATGTCAGGCTCAATTCCAGGCAAAGTGATCATTAGCGGACCGTCAACACCTCTGACATCGAGAACCTTTACGAGTTCGTTGTTGTTACCAAGACGGAGAAAGCCTTCAGAAAAATCACAGTGAGTTACGCGGTCAGACCCGTTCAAAAAATGACACAACAGCACTTGCTGACTCTGTTTGAATAGGATCTTTAAATTGTCATCGATAGGATATCGCATTAATTTGGGAATCCCGTTAAACCCACTGATCACAAGCAAGGAATCTTCCGACCAACAGCATAAAAATTTTGATCCGCCTTGATTGTGTCTGAAAGATTGTTCCACTTGGTTGGTATACACATTCCATACGTTGATATATCCATCTGAGTTACAAGATGCAAGTCGAGAGCCGCCTGGTAAAAATGAATTCGAATAAACTAGCGTTGGGTGTGACAGACAGGATTGCTTCTGTGTTGGAGGTAATGTCTTCAGGACAATTAGTTTTTCCATATCTGCATGGAGCCATAGATAACCTTCTAAAGCTGTGATTTTCATAGAACATTCAAAATACTCTAAGAAAGGAACAATGTGGTTCCAAGCAAAGTCCGCCATCATAGGCATGCTTTCTATAACACTGGAATCATAACACTCCTCGGAAGAAAAAATACACTCCACACCTTTGCAGATCCATGGATACCACATAACAAATTTTTCCCCATCCCGCTCAAGTAACCTTACTTCTAATTGTTTTAAATTTTGTTCATCATATCCTCGCTGAAAACATCGTTCACATTTCCTACTCTTTAAGACTCCTGTTTCATCCAGTTTCACATCAGATAATTTTCGCTTATCACTTCTTTGCATTGTAATGGCGCTCCAAGCGCACGACGAGTAACGCGGGCCAGGCTCCGAGCTGCGATTTTCTGAATCGGCAATGATATATAAACCTGTGATACTAAAAGAACACCAATCAACAGGAAATTCAGCACAAAACAACGAAAGCAACCTTTGTTTAACAACGTCCCATAACTTAATGATATCTGAACCGTCGCTAGTCACCAGCCTCTTGCCGTTAGGGGAAAATGCACAGGAAAGGAATATCTCTTCATTCCCAGGGAAAAATGGAACTTCCTTTCTTTCAGCAATGCTAAACGCCCTTTCCAATTTTCCAAATATTATGAGCAAATCATCCGGTGAAAATTCGCAGCAAGAAATTGTTCCCAATTTTGTCGAATAATCCATAATTTCAACTAAATGTGGTACAGATAGCACATGGATAAAGTTATTAATTCCAACTGCTATTCTTTCCTTGTTATTTGATAATGCGACAGCTGTAATACGTTTACGTTCAAAGACATAGCGACTGGACCTCCAGACTGCACGCGGCAAAATCGACACATCATAGGAATTTGGCTCGAAAAACTGCGGGTGCTTTGATAAGAGTGACTCTGCGATTTTCTTCTCGTCTTCAGTGAAATAACCTTCTGGAGAATGTGTAAGAACAGCTTTTAGATATATATTTCTCATGTTAATGTTCAAAAAGTGATCATGATGTAATTTGAGTGCCGGCTCCTTCTTAAAAAAGCCAAATTCAAGGAAATGCCACGAAATGCGGGCGCGTAGATAATCGCTTTTAATTACAGAACTTCGAAGAATCCTGTTCCAGAATGCTAAATATGAGCATGGATGTGGCATGGCAAGCAACATAAGAAACAGGATAACAACATCCACTGACCAGAAAACATCTTCCTCCATATTGTACTCCTTTATGTGACTTAGACCATGTTTCAGGGCGTACTTTACCTCACTCGTCAACTTCACCCGTTGCTCGGAACAAACCAGTGTCTTAACGTTTTCAAAAATCTTCTCACATTTTACCCAAAGCGATCTATGTCCGTCATCGACCTTGACACTGTACTCGTGATCTTTGTAGCCCTTTGCTAGAAGCCAATCAATAACGCATTTGTGAAAAACGGTTAACATGTCATCTGCCACGTACAACAAGCACGATATGGTTTCGTTAATTCTGTTGATGATGTCTTTCGTTTCGCGACAATCTGGGGCTAAACCAAAAGCTTGAGCGACGAATTTGAGGGGAAGATATCCGTTGGAGGCCGCCAGCATTTCTAAAACTTTCAAAACATTAAGCTTTTCATGTTTTATTACTTCCAGTTCGTCTTCCAAGCGTCTGAAATATCCTTGGTAAATAGAATTCAGCCCTTCTGGGAGAAACTTCATAACATCAGCATTCGTTATCTTTTCAAGATCATAGCGTCTCCTTACCTCAGATTGAAAGTGATATGCATAGAGAAATGAGCCTGCACACTTCCAAACAATACTGGGAAGTAACGTGGATCCAGAGCTTCCTTTTATTTTTTTATTAACTACGCTGGGGAGCCATTTTCTAAAATAGAGTTCAAGATCAGAGTCATTTTTGGTGTTTCTGCTTTCAATGTCAATCTTTTGAACGGCTCTCAACCTTTCAACGGAAATATCTGGCCGGCTCGTAATCAAGATTTTGATGTACTTGGGAATATCAGGAAAATAATCAACAATTAAATCCACAATTTCATTCTTACAATCCACAGCACTTTCATCTAAGCCATCTATCACAACTAAAAAGGGTTGATTTATTCCCAATTGATCTAGCGGATTTTGCAAAAATATTCGAAAGGCATCTTTTAGGTTTTGAACTTGATAATTGATCAAGGAGCTCCTTTTTAAAACCAGGGACGCTCGTACACATCTGACTTGCGAGAGACTGCAACATCACCATCGGATTTCTTAGGTTATAATTACTGAAATCACAAAAGTGACAAGCAGCCAGCTTTCCTCTCTTCTCAAAATCTTCATAGATTTTAGCAGCAAACACGCTTTTACCAAATCCTGGTCTAGCGGTTATTAAAAAAATTCGTGAATCGTTATCACTGTTATAAAACCAATCGTTAACTTTCTTTAATAACTACTCTCGTGTTCCAGCTAAGAAAAGTTCCAATTTTCTTTCAATTTTACCTTTAAAATTATGCTTTGCAAGTTTTTGCAAGACATTTTCATCACTCTGTGACTGGCGCAGTTGATTTATTCCATCGCGGTTTTCTTCAACGATTTGTGTTACATGATTTACAGAATATTGCATTGTTGCGAGCATATTAATGCACTCATCTTCTTTGAGTTTGCAATCTTTTAGCTTTTGAACATACATTTCTTCCTCTGGTGCTAAAGGGCATTTTTCTAAATTCTCATGCAAGATCATTTTTGGGAACGCCTAATTCTACCAATGCCTGGGCAATTTTCTTCCATAAAGACTGAAATGTTGAATTGTTTACTCGAGTTGTTGTTACATGTGCATAAATTTCATTTCGGTAAAACTTGACTCTTGCGATGTTCGCCTGCGTTGACCTATCAGTATCCGGAGGCATCACACTCCATCCTGTTGATGGAAAACCACAAATGTTCCGAAATAGAACAGTAAGTAATGTGACATCAAAGTTTTTGGAATCTGGTGGGTTGCCAGACGGAGGAAACAGTAAATCCCACTGGGAATTATTAATAACTCGAGGTTTTATTCTTTGAAGAGATGTTTTGTTTGCAGCCAGTACTCCGGGTAGACTAACAGGTGGAAGGATGGTATCAAATGTATTTCTCAAAGCGTCGGTACCTTTGTCAACCAAAAGTCTACTGAGTCTTGTAAAATTTGCTTTTTCTTGCAGATCGACGGAAGCCATGGAATTGGATGAAATACTACTGTAACAAATGACTGTTATTAAACAAAAAATTGGGGTACTAATAAAAAGCTTACGCTAAGAGTCAAATAACCATATTCATCAGGCAAGTACTTAAGTTACGCTATCGATGTAATATTTTTCTTCCCTTATTTTTTTGTGCCCATCATTTTATATAATTTGTTTGTATTTTCTTAAAAACAAGGGCGGTTTTTGTGAAATCTGCGAATAAACCTGTTCGACTTCCAATTAGGATAAAAAATCCAGGTTATAAAGATTTGTGCACCAAATTTCTCCAAAACATGGATAGGTTGTTTAATACGGTTCATATTTTTTCAACTATGGTAGGATAGTAGGATTGATAGTAGGATAGTAGGATGGTTGGATGGTAGGATAGTAGGACAGTAGGATAGTAGAATAGTAGGATGGTAGGATAGTAGGATAGTGGAATAGTAGGATAGTAGGATAGTATGATAGTAGGATAGTAGGACAGCATGATAGCAGGATAGTATGATAGTAGGATAGTATGGCAGTATGATAGTAGGATAGTATATGAGAGTAGGATGGTAGGATAGTACGATAGTAGGGTAGTAGGATAGTGGGATAGCATGATAGTAGGATAGTAGGATAGTAGGATAGTAGGATAGTAGGATAGTAGTATAGTATGATAGTAGGGTAGTATGACAATATGATAGTATGATAGTATGATAGTAGGATGGTAGGATAGTTGGATAGTAGGATAGTGGGATAGAATGATAGTAGGATAGTTTGAGAGTAGGATAGCAGGAAATTTGGGTCTGATTATATGTTTCATTTTCAACCCTGAATTCAGGTTGAATCTGAATTGAATTCAGCTCTGTTGACCGGGATGAAATTTCAGCCTCGCGTCACTATTAATATCCTATAAAATACAATGCGCGATTACATGCCAAATTTTCAGCCCCAGGGCTAAGTTTAACCCCAGGGTTGAAATTTCATCCCTGTCTGAGCTACAGGAGCAGAAATCTCAACCCTGGGGTAAAACTAGCCCGGGGCTTAAAATTTGTCATGCAATCGTTTCAACCCAGGGCTGAAGTTATTTGAACATGCGTAGTAGTGTCATTTACGCACGTCACTGAAGACAAAATGCAAATTTTGCAGCTACCGTATGTTTATGGTATAGTTGAAATATGATAAGTTGATTTACATTTCATTCCCGGTTAAACGGGTAAGGGACTGGCTATGACTAAGGCGAAAGCGAAAGAAACGGGATCAGTAATAACAGTATAGGATTTAGTGCGATAAATCATGTAAATATTGAAATTTGTGAGGATAAGATCGGAAAATCTTGTAAGTGTGCAAATAATAAGTATGTGTAGTGTTTCTATAACTATTTGGTGAAATTGCTGTCGTTAATTTGTATTGATGTTCATTTCAAATGTTTACTTGATTAGAAAACCATTCATAAAGGAACAATGTCGATGCGTTTCTGAGTTTGATAATTGGGTTAATTGGAGTATATCTTTAGATACTTATGGGATTATATTCAATTTGATAGGAGTCCCAGATTTATTATTCGCGGGCGTTTTGAAATCCAGGGCTGAAGTTCTCAGCTCCGTGGGAAATTATTCATGTAATCAAAAAAAAAAATTCATCCCGGTGAACAGGGCTGAATTCAACCCCGGGGTTGAAAATGACCCATGTGATCGGCCCCTAAAATATCTTTCTTCAAAAGGGGATTTAAAAGAGCAAATTTACCACATGATAATGATAGATTTACTAAACAATCGACTTTGCATGGTCATTGCTATTCTCTTCAATGAAGTTCCTAAAAAACTCCCGCCTAGCCTGGTCCATAATATAAGTAACATAGTTTTTCTTGTTTTTAAACTCAATGTAATTAATATTCGATTTCGTTTTTCTCTATTTCCTCTCAGCTTTCCTTCTCAATCGTTTAGCTGCATTGATATTGTGATTGTATATTATATTGAAATTATTTACAATATTCCACAAATAAGGCTGTCACTATAATATTTATCTGATTAAATCGTTCGTCATGGGCAAGGTTTTAAAACAGAGAAAATATCGCCCCTATTGAGATGGTCTTTGAGCCTTCGAGGCAGGACGTATATAGCTATAGAGGTGTATATATGCCCTACGCTATTGTTTCAACGGTATCTAAACATGAATATACGTGCACCCACCAATTAAACGGTTTAGCTACCGCTCTGCTTCAAGGCCTAAAACGCTGAATGTGTCGAATCGAAGTAAATATTCTTAAACAAACACTTTATAGTTCATTAACATTACGTTCAACTTCAACGATTGAAACGCAGGCCTTAACTGAAGGTTCTTGACTGTCGAGTCGAATGTAAATGTTCTTAAACAAATATTTTAGCTCATTAACATTAGGCTCAACGACTAAAACGGGCCTTAACTGAACTACATTTTTATACAGACCGCTAAATTCGATCGAGTTTTCAAATGCTTAAAAGATTTGACATATTATTCAAAATATTGACAAATAAAACTCAAAGGAATTACTAGATTACTATTAGATGATATATAGTGTGGTTGTATATAGTCTTTTAATATCACGATGCCACTGCACACTGTCGCGTCACAGAATAAATAATTAAAAACATGACCAACGCTATGACAACTGAAACGTACCTTCTGAAATTTTAAAACCGTGAATTCCACTACATGGGCCAAATGCCACGGAATTATAGCGAACAGATGCGCAGAAATGTAAATTTAAAACCTATATATAGAAAGAAGAAAAACGTTGCATTTTGATTTGTAATTTTGTAATTTTTGAACAGATCACAGATGCACAGAAATGTAAATTTAAAACCTATAGAAATAAGAAAAATAGGTACGTTAAGCGTACATGTATCTGCGTGCAGCAAGCAGGTTGGGAAACTTTAGGCATGCATATAGGACGGCAACACGAAGATGGCGGCTATCAGTACAATGGGTCGCTAGAAAGATACAAATGATTAAAGACGTATGACAGTTTCAATTTCTTTTCAAAAATATCACCAAATGAGGAAATCCATACCAATACCATCAGGGGTGGGTTCAGCACTAGTGCACTAATTTGCATTACAAAACAAGTGGTTATTTATAGCAGTTTTCTTGTGCCAAACAAATTAGTGCACTAGTGCTGGATCCACCCCCTGAATACCATTGTTCAATACGCTTCAATTTGCAGGAGTACAATGGTTAAATCACCAGTGTTGCTCTAAAAGAATATAGCCTTATAGGTGACAATTGGAATCCGTAGAAACTGCAAACAATGTTGAAACACGGCAGGAAATTTCAGTTCCAGTTTTACAGTTGTGTTGTGTAAATAAACTGAGATTGGGGTATTAAAATTTAGATGAATAACTTTAAAAATGGTTATAGTTATAGGACTAACATAACTTATACATGTTTCTTTTTTGTTTTATTGGTGACTTTGTGCATGGTGATTATTTGGATACTTATTGGACTAAAATAGTAACTAATGTTGATATTTTCTTTCATTGGTGTTATATGGAAATATTTGGATAAATAAATGAAAATGTTATGTGACTAAAGCAGTGTTTACACTTTACAGTACAACCCTAGGTGTACCACTGTACCTTTGAATTACGTTTTTGTAATTAAAGCACATTTCAGCCTGTCCTGGACCAGGAAATCTGGATCACCTCTTCTTTTGGTTCTAGATTTCCTAGGCTAGACCTCACCAAAATGCATTTTGACAACAAAAATCAAGTCCAAAGCTAAATGTAGAGCAGTCCTAGGCTTATGGTGTAACCACTGCTTAAAGTCACAGCTCATGCTGGTATTTCATTTCATTGGTGACTTGGTGTATGTTGATATTTCGATAAATATGAATATTATACTAAATGATATAACCATTGACATTTTCATTTGCAATACATGTTTGTTAAACTTTAAGCATATTTTGTCCAAGTAGAATGCCTACAGTTACAACCTTTCAAACTGTTAAATTTCTTTCCAAATTGACACATTTAAGGTGTAATTATTAATGTAGACTGTGTAGTACTAGACAAGTTTAGCTTGCATGGCTAGAATTAGATGTAAATTGACTAGCCATATGACATGTTAAAACACAAAATATCAAATATGTCACAACCCATCCTTTGCAACATCAAATTTTCATACAAGCAAAATTTGTGAAATTATAAGTACTGATAGTAGTTTGCATGCCTGCAAACAGAATTTTAATTTGCAGGAAATTGAAAAAGCAGGCTTCTTACAAATTCTAGAGGTTCAAATAAGCTAGCAAATTCATCTTAAAATTAAGACAGGTTCTATGAGGCAAATTCTGGTGGTTCATAGGTTCTTAATTTTTGAGTCAAATACACCATTATTATACGCCTAGCTTATTTCTTTTGGGATGCTCTACAAGTATCCAGCAAGATAAACATTTCTGAATCAATGTGAAAATTTACAACTTAATATGATAATTATAAAAGTTAACGACATGGTTAGGTGCGTAAAATACATTATAGAATTGTCTCTGAATAATTTCATGCGTCAATGCCAATGCTGTTTAAAACCCCGAATCTTAAACTCTTGCAACTGTACATATAGACCGTCAAATTCAAGCTCTTAGTCTTTGGTATAAAATGAATGGCGATGACCTGAAATAACTTATAGTATATATAGGTTTATTAAAGAGGCGAGGAATGTATTTCCAGTATCAACAAGTCAACAACGATACAACAGTTCTGTGCAGTGCCAAGTCACTTAATACATAGTGCCCAAAGATTAGAAACCAGTTCAATAAAGGCACAAAGAATCAACGAAGATCGTAATTCCTAATCACAAGTGATACGTCACCCCCAAAACGAATAAAAAGATGCTTGAAGCGATTCAATCCTGAAAATTTTATATGGCGCCACAGCGCTGTTCGAACTTCCGTGTCGACATGCACATTATTAAACCGACCGTGTCTACTTTACTGTGTTGATGACATGAAATCATTTATAATCACAAACGTACCTGTTCAAAACTAAGAAAACGACAGTCCATTTATATGGCCAAAATCCAAAGAGAAATTCAGCAAATGCGTTGAAATTAGATTTACGAAGCATCAAGAAATACTTCGCTGCCTTCTGGTTGTATTACTTGTAATGTAAATCTCGCCCACTCGTTCGATAGATGAATGTCATGTGATGGTCATGTGTTTGCTGCGTGCCGCAATTGTATTATTGCTGCGGAGCGAGCGAGCCTGAAGCGAGCGAGCGTAGCAGCAGTCTAATTGGCGTAGTAGGAGTAGGCAGAGAAAAGCAAATTTTTAGGGTTGCGTTGCATTGTGGTTGTGCGCAGTGACGCAGTTGTATCAGGCCTGTTTGTATGCGCAGTTGTGCACAAATTAATCTCACGTTTCAGTGATATGGATTAAATACCAATATGGATTAAAACTTAAAAGTCAAACGTCCAAGTTTGGAAGAGGTACCAGTCCAGATTTAACATAAATTCTGTTCTTCATTCGCCTTTGTTTTCATTTATTTATAAGGTTGACAGTTGCTTGTCGTTTTGCCTGATTTCTACTGTAATTTGTTTTGATTCACAATATGAATATTCGCGCATTGATGTCTAGATTTTTCGTTTAGCATATCGTACGACGCGCGATATACAGTATTGACGATCAAATCGTATTTTAAGTATATTGTTGATTGTTTTGCCTGTTTGGACTTATTTTGACTCAGTGTTGATAATCCAAGTTTATTTCCTCATCTTTGTCATTGCGCCTCGTGTTTCATTGTCATAGTGTGCCTGGGCAGTCTGCCGTATTCGAATTTCATTTTTTCGAACTGATTAAACTGTTTGTAGCTATTCTCGGTTTCATTTGCACTACGGTACTACGCTTAATTCAGTGTGACGTTTACTAGGGGTAAAAAGCTCAGTAAAAGCGGCAATTTAGTGTTTAAAATTAAAAATCCACGTGTTATGTTTTACATATTTGTCATTGCGGCTCGTGTTTCGTTGTCGCTTGCCGCATGTAAATACAGTAAATGAGTAGCAATTCTTTGAAGGAACTGATTATATCTTCGATTTCATTTGCACCTTTGCGCTTGATAGTATTTCCTATTTTATCTTATTGTTAGACCACAGTTTAGTTTGATAATCCAAGTTTATTTTTACATCTTTGTCATTGAGCCTCGTGTTTCATCGTCATAGTGGGTCTGGGCAATCTGCCATATACTAAAATACAGCAAACGAGTGTAGCAATTCCTTGAACTATTTAAGGCAAGACGACGATGCCGAAGGGTCGCCGAATACATCAAAGGTGGATTGACCTGCAGAAGGAGTCACTTATATTCTTATTTTGTTAACTTTAGAGTTTAGTTCAGGCCCTGTTACACGATGCAATTTTTTTGCAACTTGCAATACAACTCTTGAGAAATGTAAAATGCCAAAGTACGTGTTTTGCGTTGATATTTTTCCAATCCATATGGCATATCTTCATTGACTTTACTGATTACAAGCAGAATTCCAAGTTGCAAGAAAAATTTCACCTTAACACATCCTTCATTAAATTAGTTGCGACGTGATCGTGTGACACATATTTCACAAATTTTAACGCTTTTGACGTTTTGTAATATTTTTTTAACAATTGTACAGTTTTGACAATCCTGTTCTTATATGATATTTAGATCAATTTGTTTTTAATGCCCGCAGCAATCCCTACCTTGCAGATAACCTAGTTCTTTAAAAATATACGGCCGTCGCGAGTTGTTATGACTACAGTGTTTCCACGTGCAGAAAAATATTTCCATACTTTTCTCAATTTCTTTTTCTCTCTATACGATGTACCCTCCAAAACCCCCAACTACATAAATTTTCTAATCATGTTACCATCCCTATGCTTAACTGATTTCGTTCAACCGAGGCGAAGGGTTGCTGCATGCATGTATTTCTAGTTTAGATATATCGTTCCAGTTTTCTAACTTTAGTTTGCAGCGCCATATAGCTCAGAGGCCACACCCAAAACCTCACCCAGTTCCTGTTTCTCTTTGAGTCTCTGTATTTCTTCAAAGTCTGTGTTCCTTATTTGTCAAAATGATCGTATTCTTGGACTAGAAGCTCCAAAAGTAATCCTGGGAAGTGTTGATTTAGTGTTTGAACAAAACTAAAGTTGTTTTAACAAGCTTTATCAAGGCAGACAAGCCCAAAGAGGCAAAGACAAAGGCATACGGCTTCGGACCAGTCGTGGTATAAATATACACTACATAGACAAGACAAGATTGCCGAAGGTATTAAATCAAGGTATGTTTTCTCTCATATTGCGATATACGAATGCGTCTTTGTCTATTTTGCTATACATTACAATGTTTTGATGGGATGGTTTGGTTTATATTTGTGTTTCACGTAATATATTGCACATTGTTGCTTTATATATACATATTTGCTTTTGTATAATAATAGTCAACAGAAATATTCACATCTGATTTTGCTGGGTACGGGAAGAATTTATTTGGAGTAACTATAGAATACCCCGCCACATGTAAGTGTTGTTTTCCTGTGGCTACCTGGCAACACATGGCCACATAGCTGCGTGGCTACGTGGCTACATGGCTACGTAGCTACGTGGCTACATGGCTACATGGCTACGTGCTACATGGCTACGTGGCTACATGGCTACGTGGCTACGTGGTTATGTGGCTACATGGCTACGTGGCTACGTGGCTACGTGCCTTATGGCTACTTGCCAAACATGCATGGCTATATGGCTACTTGACCACTTGGTAACCCTAACCCTAACCTACAACCCCTTACGTAATTAAAATTCCGATACTTACTAATTCTGCACAAAACCATTAAAATACCGAAATATTAAAATACACACTTCTTAAAATAGAACCTTAATTCCAATAATTTGCTAACCTCTATTATTCAACCCCCTATAAAACAACCAGTTGAATTACTTTAACTTAAACACAGTGTTACTCACTAAAAAGCCTCCTAAACAAGCACCCTCAAACTTTAAATACCCTACAACCCTAAATGTAACCAAAAAATATACACGTAGCCACGTAGCCAGCTTACATAGTACTCTCGCATGCGGGGTATTCTATAGTTGTACCAGTGGTCATTGACATTATATTAAAACACATCTAATTCTCAATTTATACAGTGCTCTGCTGCCCTAGTTTTAATACAGGAAGTCAATTTTAAAACATTCACTAATTTAATTAGACCCAGAGAGCAGAAATATCTTTCAGGGGGAATATCATCATTTCATTCACTTCTTACATGTCCATTTTAAACATTTTATTCCACCTGCTGAGATAAAATTATTAGAGTTATCACAAATTAATTAGTTCAGTAAGTTCAACTTCAAATGAAATCACCAATTGTTAGAAAAATTGTTAGGAAACAGATTTGGTTGAAACCAGTTTGGAACTGGATAATTATCACATAACCAGTAAATCATTAGATGAGAATTTTATTAGAATCTGTTTGCCCATCCAAGAGGGTTAAATTCCTCCATAGTCAAGACATTATTTTTTGTCCTTTTTTGTCCTAAAAATGTAATTCATGTCAAATATGCATGTTTATGGCAGGGAAACTCCCCAGTTGGTGCAAAGAGGAAAACGTTTTCCCAAATGGGTTTCCCCTCAGAAGCAACCTTCAAATCACAGAATTAAGATAAAATTTTATAATATTTTTCATGACACATTATTCATACTGTGTTATACATTATTCATAACTTCATTAAGATTTATAGGTTAAAACTCACTTGATCACACAGGTCAAACAATATATGTTACATCAATTGGGTGAAATCGAACACAATCCAATGGAGATTTTTCATAATACCGTATATTGTAAATTCTAAATTGATTAAGTTGATTAATCACAACTCACAGTACCTGTAGAGTCGATCTCCACTGATTGTCAAACTATCGTTCTCTCTCTTGCACACTTGTTTAACAATGGACCCGATATCTTGTTCTCTGTTTACACTAACACCTAATCACTAATTCAATCACATCTCATGCAAATCAAATAGGATCATGCTGGAGATTTATTTAAACTATATATAAAATCAAACCATATGTAAACTGTGTGATCCAGAGGTGATAAAATTAAAAGTCTCATAACACTCTGATTTCCTAACAGTGTTATTCAGACAGTATTCATAAAACTTTCAAATGTTTCTTGCATGTGCATGAGAACTAACATACTACTGTATTTGCAAAATCATTCGTGTGAAAAAGTGCTGCACTTGCATGCAACTTCAAGCTTGTCAGGGAAAACCCTTTTTTGAACATTAATTTTAAAAAAGTTACTGTAAATGATCTGTATATGTTCACGGGATGACTGGAAGGTTTATCAGGTCAGGTTGATTGGGATGTATTCAACTTTTCAATTCATTTTTACCCCATGAAAGAGAGTTGGGCATTTCACATAATGGCATCAAATGTGATATAACAACTGCCTGAAATAGACAAAACACTTCTCAACGTTTCGACCTGAGGACCTTTGTCTGGAGAGTTAGAATGAGAGTAAATACGGGAAAACACATGTTTTGTATGGGGCAAAACACGTGATAAAAATGGGCCAATAAAAAACAAAAAATCAAAACAACGCCTGACTCTGGGCTAAGAATAGCCTGCAATGAGGGAAGCCTGATCAGCAACGAAAACATATTACAACCATTGACATACATAATTAATACATTATACTATATATATCAGACATTAGAAAACACCGCTGTCTTTCATTAGCTTCAAAATTTCACCTGATGGCAATTCAATACAGTGTGAACAGCTTTAAGCCTTTTTCATACGCACGTAAACCCAAAATTGTTAACTCATCGCCAGAATAATATGATGTTATCGGTAATATGATGTTATATGATGCAACAAATTTTCACTATAGAGACGCATCATCCGTCTGTTATTATAAATACAGGGTATTAACCAGAAAACAGCTCTTGTACACGCGCTTTTTGCCACATAAATATTTCCCAGGATATTTTCCCATTTTCGATGCACTTAAGTAAGGCGTGATTTTGTTTATGTTCGACATATTCGTCTACATATGGTTTTGATCATGTAGATTACCACATTCTAAATTTTGAACTATTACGTTTGTTATTATAAATAATTTATCAACAACACGGTAAAGT